GGATAGCTGAGGGTGGCGCCTCTTTTGAGTCATTCCCCAGCTTTCAGTGGACACAGCATTCCTTTTCCCTCCAAAATCACACACCATGTGTGCCTGCTCCTGTCTCTTTCTCCTCTAATATGCTGGGTGCTTGTTCTTGCCTTGCAAGCTTAGCAGATTTTTTTTTTTTCCATGAAAATAGAAAAATTCCTGCCTCAGGAAAAAGTGAGAACTCCCCTGTGGGCTATACTGGTTTGGCTGCTTACGTGACTGCATGCAGAGGTAGAGCTGAGCAGGGGGCCTGCTGGGGGCTTGGCAGCAGTTGTAAGGGAAACCAGGATGTGAGTGGGATTTGAACCCAGCACATTTTGAGGAACCTAAGAAACCATTCTCTCCTTATGACATTGACCCCAGGATCATGTTAGTTAAGTATGCCCACTTCCCTTGCTGTGAGCCCTGCTCAGAGCCAGCTGTAAACCTGCCATCCCAAGGCCATTTCTGTACAGTTCCCTATCCCTGCACTCCACTTGCCTTTTGGATTCATTCCTCCCTCCTGTGTCCCCCACTCCATGCCTCACTGAATGTTGGTGAAACAAATCTAGTCTAAAATAATGAGCAATCAACTACCCTGATGCTTGGGGCAGGCTGGGCAGAGCTGGGGGAAGGGGTGGGAAGCTGAATCATTTATAAAGCTTAATAAAGATGCAGATGAGCAGTGCTGAGTAGGAACCCCAGAGCTGGGCTTATTCATTATTCAAAGTTATGTAAATGCCATTGGGTTCTGCATGTTGGAATCCTGCCCCTTGTCCCTGCTGCCTCCCTGGGGCTGGCAATTGCAGCTCACCTTGTACCTTCTCTTCCAACCCTACCCCTAGAATCCTAGAACCCCTCTCCAACCAGCTGTCTTTGGATGTTTTCCTGGAAAGCCCGAGCTCAGATAGCTCTATACAGGACCAAATAGAAGGAGTTTTCAATGTTTAAGATTTCCAAAGAAAGACTACTCTAGCAGTACACATATACATATTTTAACGTCTCATATATCAGGGATGAATGTCCTGAAGTCTAACCTAACTCCTTTTTGCTGCCTAAAAGCCCACCACAGAAATAACCAAATCACTCTCCCTAAGAAGTGAAATACAGCCAGGTGTGGTGGCTTTTGCCTATAATCCTAGCTATTTGGGAGACAGAAATCAGGAGGATTGAGGATTGAGGCCAATGCAGACAAAAAGTTAGTGAGTCCCCTATCTCAACCAACAAGCCCACTTAAGCAGGTGGAATATGTAGGAGGATCTGCAGTCTGAGGCCAGGTCCAATCAAGAACTAGGGGTAGGGTTAGAAGAGAAGGCACAAGGCTAGGGGTAGGGCTCAAGTGGTAAGTAGAGTGCTTGTCTAGCAAGCACAAAGCCAAAAAGAAAAGTGAAATAAATACAGGCCTCCAGTCACTTTCCAGCCTGCTGTCTCCAAGCTGGCTCTTCCTAGTTGCCTCTTGCCTTTCTAGACAGTTGAACCTCTCCCAAGTTCAACTCACACCAATCCCTTAAGCTCTTAAACCTGTTCTGGGATACCAAACTCTGCTGAGAGTTGAACTAGGACTGACCACGCCATTTATCTCCTCTTTTTCCCAGCACGGATACGGATTTGTGCTCCACAATTGCCTAGCTCCTAAGACCCAATTACTTTCCTGTGACTCTCTCCCCTCCACACCAGTCAGTCTCTATTTCCCCACCAAGCCCTCATTTGTCAGTTTGGTGAGGCTGAGAGATGAAGAATTGGGTCAGAGTTGCGATGGCATGCGTTGCCTGGGTTCTCCCTCCTCTTCTGGCCTGGCTCTCCTTCCTTCCCACCCCTAGTTCTATTTTTAGCCTGCCTCTGTTTTCCTTAGTCTGGTTGGCAACCTCCCCAGCCTCTTTCTCTTCATTGCCCTTATCTCGCCCCTGCAGCCTGTGCAGACCCTAGCTGCCCTTTCAGAGGTCTCTTTTCGCCTGCCTGATTAATTTTGATTTTCTTCCATCTTGAAGATATGTAGGGGCTGCCTGAGAGGGGGTTGTTGGCCACATTCAGGCAGAAGGGAAGCTGTGAGATGGTGCCATTTGATCTGTTTGGGCAAATTCTTCAATATTTCCAAAGTCCTGGCATTGTCCTCCAACCCTTTCTGCACTGACTTTTGCTTTCTTCTTTGCCCATCCACTACTCCCTTTATCTTCTCTCCCCTCTGTGATCCCACCCCACCCCAACTATGAAATGCTCACTTCCTCCCATTCGGGCAAACTTCCAAGGTGTTTGTGACACCCCTGGAAGTCCTTCCTGCCTGCCTTTTTTGGTCTATACATTGCCAATCTCTTTTTACCCGATTCTTTGTCTTGCTCTATTCTTTGCTCCCATCCTTCCCCGCACACCTGCCCTCCTTCTACTCTTTTCTAGCACACACAAGGCTCTCTTGCCTTAACCAGCTCAGGCAGGGCTTGGTAGCATCCCCCACTTGTCCTTTCTCTGCCTCTGTGAGACACTGGTCTCCTCCTTTAGCTGTCACCAATAAGCTGAATAAGGCTGGATATTTTGGAAGGGTAGCTGCAGCTGGCTGGGGGGGGAGGAGGCTAGGAGAGAAGAGACAGAGAGAACCACAGGCAGCAGTGGAGCCAGAGGGGACATTCCTAACATCCTTTCTCCCTGACTCCATCAGTTGGAGAACTAATGGATCACATGCTGATTCCTCTCTGCACCCCGTTTCTCTGTTCCCCTCAATAATAACACAATACCTTGATGTATAACTCAGCATTCTTTTGTGTACTTCCCGTTATCAACACGGCTCTCTTGACTCCCTCCTCAACAAGGTCCACACTGGTCACCATTGCAAAGGTCAAATTCTCCCCCAGACTTCACTGTCCTCCCTTGCTCTGTTTCTCCCAAAGTGCTTATCACCTTCTCGTATATGAGATAATTTAATGACATGTATTGATTACATGTCTTCTCACTGGGCTGCAAACTCTATAAAAACAGAAATTTTAAAAAATTGTGGTGGAATATACATAACGCAAAATTTACCATCTCAGACATTTTTAGGTGGGTAATTCGATAGCGTTAAGTGCATTCACATTGCTGTGCAACTGATCTCCAGAACTATTTGCATCTGGCAAAATTGAAGCTCTGTACACATAAACAGACTCCCATTTCCTCCTCCTCCCAGCCCCTGACAACAACCATTCTGATCCTGCTCTCTATGAATTTGACTACTGGACTCATGTGAGTAGAGTCGTAAGGTAGTGGTCTTTTTGTGACTAGTTTATCTCACTTAGCACATAGTGTCCTTGTTTCATCCATGTTGTGTATGTCAGGATTTTATTCCTTTCTAAGGCTGATTTCTATTCCATGGTATGTACATACTACATTTTATTTATCTGTTCACCTGCCACTGGACATCTGGGTTCTTTCCACCTCTTGACTATTGTGAGTAATGCTGCTCTAAACATAGGTGTATAAATATCTTTTCGAGACCCTACTTTCAATTCTTTTAGGTGTATACCCAGAAATGGAACTGCCAGATTATATGGTGATTCTATTTTTCATTATTTGAAGACCCACCATACTGTTTTAGAACAGGCTTTTTTTTTTTTTTTTTTTTCAGTACTGGGGCTTTTGGGCCTTCACCTTGAGCCACTTCACCAGCCTTTTTGTTTTGTTTTTTTTTTTTGTGATGGGTTTTTTTTGAGATAGGGTCTCACAGACTATTTACCCAGGCTGGCTTTGAACCAAGATCCTCCTGATCTCTGCCTCCTGAGTAGCTAGGATTACAGAGGTGAGCCACCAGCACCCGGCAGGGATTTTTTTTTTTAATCTGTTTTGTTTACTTGTGTATCCACAGTACCTAGCACAATACCTGACACATAGTAGAGGCTAAATAAATATTTGTTGAATGAATGAATGAATGAATGAATGGTCTTATTTGATCCACACACACCCCTATAGTCAGTACTATTATTCCCATTTTACAGAGGCTAAGGTTTGGGGAACTACCTGAGATCAACCCAAAAGCAAACTTGACATGGAATTGACAGAATCAACTGGCTTTTATAACTCACTGGAGAAATCAGTGCTGATAGGTGTGCCTAGGCTTAAGGACTGAGGCAATTGAAGAGTAATTGCCTCACTCTTATTGCCCACCTTCCCCACTCAGTGATTCCTCCTAACATATTCATCCCACCCAGTCCCAGATTTTCTCTCCCCAGAGCATTTAAAATCCTGTTCTCTGGGGTAGAACTGGCTTGATCTGGAAGTCCTTCTCACTGGGTGTCATCTGAGTGCATCAGCCTTTCCTGAGTCCCTGTTTATACCCTTTACCCTTCACCTACCCTGGGGTGGTTATGAGCCCGTTCTCATCCAAAGCAATTAGTGCAAGGAGGCCAGCCGACTCAGTGCTAATGCTGTTTCATTAAGTGGGAGCAATCCTAATGATAATAAAATGGCACATTTAACATTCAAACATTGAACAGGGTTTCTAAGCAAGTGTATCTCTCTCTTTCTTTCTGGTATAACAGCTCCATCTTCATAAGGACCTGACAATACACCTTAATGAGAGACTGGGGAGCTGAGCATCTTTACAGATCCAGAGAGATGAGGATGAGACACAAAAATAGAGGAGGGGGGTGCAGCAGATCCAAGGGATCAAGACTCAATGAACTCCTGGGATAACAGATTCTGTGGTGCTAATTGAGATAATGAGAGCCTGTAAGAAATAAGGTCAATGGAAAAGAAAGCCCATCACAGACATTTATGCAATGTAGCTATTTATTTACTTGGTTTTTCAACAAATCTTTTCCAACAAACATTAACTGTGCAGTGAAGATAAGATTTTTATGGGAACTGGTGGTGGAAGATGGCTCTAGTTTTAAGAAAAAGAAACCACAAGGGTTTCTAGTGATTTATAAGGGATGATCTTTTTTTACCCTCCCCTGGGTGGATTTAGTCAGATCTACCCAAGTTCGTTAAATGTGAAGAGAATTTTAGCAAGTGCTTTGATCTCCTAAGTCAGTCCTAGTACCCTCTCTCTACTAACACATCTGTTTCAAAGTTCTTTGCTACTCTGCCATGATGAATATCTGGTTTTCTGGAAGCAAAAAAGGAACTGAAATTGGGTAGTTGACCAGGGAAAGAAGGGTAGTAGACTCATTTGGTGTTTATAGAAGAGTCAAGAGAAGCTGGAGAAAAGGACACATCTCAGGGCCATGTCATCCTTCTAAGAATTCTTCCAGAAGATGACTCCTGTGCACAGAAGGGAGGCTGCTGGCCAGAGATCAAAGGTGGGCTTTGCCCCGGCCAGAGAAGCGGCTGATTCGAAAAGGTTCCAGGTCATAGGATGGTGTTAATTTCATGCTTAATTCACACAGGATCTTCCCCACAACAGGGGCCAGCTTGAATCCATGTCCTAGGAGAAGGACAGTATATAGCCATTCATCTTCAGGGACAGAGAAGCTGAGCTCTCAAGAAGTTCCCTACTTATCCAGACAGGGCTACCTCTCCTCTTGGTCACATCCCAAAGCCAGAAATTGCCTCCCACTATGGGTACCCTTTTCTGACTCTCCAGCCTCCTTATATACCCAAAGTTGAGGCTTTGGTACATCTTAGAGCAGCTGAGTATGCAAAATGCCATTTTGCCTGGCACTAAGGTAGGTCAGCTTAAAGTCACCCCTTTCCCCCCTCCCTGGGCTCACCAGAGAATCCAGCACCAATGACAATGTTGTCATACTTCGGGTGGCGATCAAGAATAAAGTGCTTGTCAGGGGTATTCTAAAAAGAAACAGTCACACGTGTCTTTTGAGGGTAGGAGGAAGAGGAACTACAGACTCTGATGGGAAGGATTGGGCGGATTTCTTTCTAGAAAAAATGGAATGGGACACAGGCATACTTCCTGCAGGCCAGTACCCCATCTGATTGTGCCAGAATTTCTCATTTGTCCATCTGTCTCTCCCCTTACTGAGCTAAGAACACAGTAGGGGCTCAGTTCATCTTTATAAACTAACTTTAGCCAAGATGCTTCAGGCCCTGATGACATCTGTCTCTTCTCTTTGTCCCATAGGCCTGCTCAACTGAAGCATCTTGCCAAAAAATCTTTTAGAGCTCTTCTGGGAAATACAGTGAAGGACTGCCAGGCATAAGCCTTGTTGTTTAATGAAAAAAGAATATGAAAAATCCCTAACGGGCTCCTCTCTTATGGATATGAACCAATCCACAGAAATTAGCATGCTTGTTTAAGGTCACCTCCTATGTCAGGGGTCAAATGAGTCAGGCTTGGCCAGCGTGAGGTCTGTTCCTTCCCTTGATCTGCAGAGTTAGCCCAGCCTAGTAAGGGTACCAGCCTCCTTACCGTGTACATACAACACTCTGTGATGTCAGGCTCAGGTCTCAGGTCAGGAAAATGGTCTCTGATAAAACAGCACAGGATCTGAATGTCTTGGATGTCTGAAGAAACTGTGGGGCAGTCCCGCTCCTCAGGGTCCACATTATTGCCATGGTGATAGCAGACCTGATGCCCATCACAGAAGTGTGGGTAGTTAAAGCAGGCCTTCTGTGCACACCCACCAGCAAGGGGCAGGCTTGGTACGAGATGTCTTCATTCATCATCCCAGCCTTCCCCAGTCCAGATGCTGTTTGTTGCTTTTGCATGGTCCCTGTACCCACCCCATGTTTGCAAAAGAAAGATGCCCTTGGCTGGGCCTTAGGGCAGCTGGGAGTCAAAAGTGAATGGTGGACTCCTGCTGCAGCCCACTGGGACCTGGGGGGTCTGGGAAGGACAAGTTAAAGCAGCTGGCCCTGATCTGTATGGGCACCTGGGAGCCTTCTCAGCTTTTCCACTCACCTTTACCAGTCCTGGGTACTCTCCTGCAGGCAACCCATAGATGTGGTGAGGAGCCTGATCCAGGCCTATGAAGCACGGAAAGGCCTGGGATGCACTGTAGCTCCCAGGGACCTTTTCTCGCCAGTAACACACGTTGATCCGCAGAACCTTGAGGCAGAAGAGAAAAGTGGGGAATAAAAGGGCTTCTGGGGTCTTATATCTCTTTCATACATCCAGTCTTGTTTTTACTTGTTTTTGTACTTTGTGATGCAACCATTCTAAGTTTTCTCCCATAGCTCTACCCCAGCCCTACTTCTCTCTCTTTTTCATAGTTGATAATACTCATATTTATTCAGTGCTTACTGTAAGCCAGGCTATCTCCTAAGGGCTCTATACACACTGATAATTTAATTCTCTAACATTCTGAGGTAGCTACTATTCTCAACATTAATAAAACTGAGATGGGGGGGAGTGAATTAATTTGCCCAAGGTCACCAACTAGCAAGTGCTAGATCCAAGACTCAGAGTTGAGCCATGACTCTCAGGTGTCCAGTTCCCTCTACCTGGAGTGGTAACTCAATTCCCAGGGAACTGAGAAGCATGTTGGTCCAAGGACCTGCTGTGATGATCAAGCTCTTGGCTTGGTAGCTCCTAGAGGTGGTTTTCACCAGGACTGGTAGCCCTGGTCTTATCGCCACCACCTTCTGTCCATCACACACTGTGCCTCCTAGCTGGCAAATTGCATCCTGAAAGGAAAGAGAGGAAAAGATAAATTCACTGTGCATGTGGTTTGCCCTGGTAGACAAAGAGTCCTTTGCTTAGGGCAGACAAAAGAGTGCAGAATCTAGACCTCCCCACTACTCCACGATTGACAAAGCCAGCAGGGTGTATAAGATTGCCCTGCCTCAAAGATCAAGACCAAAGCCAGCAGGGCAAAGGCCCTCATCCTGCAGAGGGGCCATGGCTGGCTGATAGGGGACTCAAAGATCCCAGAACAGAGCACAGTATTGCCCCCATGCTGTGCAGCATCACCTGGAGGGCTCTTAGGGTCTTATCTGCGTAGAGGATGCCACCCGTCTTATCCAAGAGCCCCACTTCTCCCCTGGTGAACCGAATATTTGGGAAACATTGCTTCAGCTCCTCAGATGAAAGACACTGGTGTTCTATCCCCTGCCTGGACAGAGTTGCCTGGATTGTCTTTAATTCTATATTCTCCTTCAGTCCCAACAATAGGAGTTCAGTTGGCCTGCTTAAAAAAAGAAAGAAAGAAAAATAAAAAATAAAAAAAAAACAAGGACATGTGAGTAAAGATATGTGTCAGGGCCCTGACCATTTGCTTTCATTCTTTAGCAGTAGCAAGGGTCCCAGGTTGAGGGGAGTCATGGCCTCCCATTCAGAGAATGGGTGAGGTCATCTAGATTCCAGATAAGAGTCCAGCTGGTCTCCAGCCCATTCCCAAGTTCACCCTTGGTGCTTGCTATTGGTTTGCTTGTCCTTCCATGCTGCCCTTGAGAGCAGAAATCCTAAGTCCTTCCCATCTCCCAAACCTTGAAAGTAATAAGGGTTGAATCAGTTTGACAAAATTTCTTCCCCTTTCTCCCTCCTCTGGCCCACTCACTGTGTTGATCCCTGGGTTCTGTATTGCACTATCACCAGCCCACTGTTCCTTTTCCCTTTTCTTGTCATATGCCATTTTGTCCCTTCCTATGTGTTTGTCTATCTCTCGCTTCCGTCTTAGAGGCTGCTTTATGGAACAGGTCCTAAATTGGGAATTCTGCCTCTGCTTCTAATCTTTGTGTGACCTTGACCTGTGACTCACTTCTCAGGGCCCTAAGTCCTCCTCTGTAACACCACATTGGACTATTGGGTGATTCTGCCCCAGGTTGGTCACCCCCCCACACACACACACATTCCAAGGCAAGTGGAAATAGTGTGTGCCATTTTTGTAGTTGTCACAATGTCTGGGGCTGCCACTCACAGTGAGTGGGCAGGGTCAGGGATGCTGAACCTGCTGTTCTCAAGGCTGTTCCACCCACAATGCCAAGGGCATATTCATCACAAGTAGGTGGTATTAGGGCTCCAGCAATAAATTCAGTGATTCTCTGATTTTGTTCTTCCCTATGCCTCCCTTCATCCCTCTTACTCCATAAGAGAGAGAATGCAATTTCTCTTTAATGCTTCCTGCCTCTCTGTCACAAGAGACCAGAGCTTGCTGTCTAAGCAAAGGAAGGGTCTCTCTGGCCCTTAGGACCATTCCTGTGGTCCCTCTAGGCTTCAGCAGCCACACTGACCAGCAGCAGCCTGGTGCGTCCCCCAGGTGCTGCGTATAAAGCTGGTAATAGCCTATAATGGAGTCTCATGGATATTACATGCTTCCAAATCCCACATTATCTGGTTGGGGGAATTAAAGAGAAGATTGGGAGGGGGTAGGGACACAGCAGGCCCGGGGGCCGGTGTCAGTACACAGAGCTGCGCAGCGTGCCCAATCCATTTGCCACGGCCCCCGCCTCCCCAGCACTCACCACTAGTAAGACAGCGATGCCAGCTCTGCCTCTTCAAAGCTCGGCAGAGGAGAGTCACTGCAGAATACCCAACCAGAAGACTGGCTCTTCTCTGTGGCCCCCAATAGGACTTCAGATTGGTTTTCAGGTAATGAAATCTTGCCTAGTAGATTTCTTGGTCAACTACATAATTAGGAAATCACCCAAGGGGTTCAGGATATAGCTCAGTGGTAGAGCACTTGCCTTGCCTTGCACACTCAAATCCCTGGATTCAATCTCCAGCACCGCCATCACAACAACAAAAAAGTTACCCAGGTGTTTTTTATTTTGTTTTGTGGTGCTGAGGATTAAACCCAGGGACATGAGCGTGCTAGACAAGCACTCTACTACTGAGTTATACCCACAACCCTAGGTGTGTGTTCTTGTGGGGTTTTTTTGTTTGTTGAAAACTGATAGGGTCCTGACTGGGTAGGATTCTGGGAAAGACCTATCTTCCATCTCACCTAAACAGACCTAATGTCAGATCTTTGGCCCCAGAAACTCTACGGCAGAATATTCTAACCCTTGCCTGCAGATGCACCCTCGGTCTCTCATACACTGTAAGATTTACTTCCCCCTTTTCTATCCTTCCTTCCCTCCTGCTGTCATTCTTTCCAACTCCCTTCCTTCCTTCTTTCCTTGAAACAAGAACTCCTCTTGCAGGGACTTACCGTATGGGGAAAATGAACTCATGCCAAGACAACGGGCAAATCTGTCGAATTATGAAATGCTGAGTGATGTTCTAATTCCCAAGCTGTCCTGCGGTGGGTGAAGCGGGAGCTTCCCAGCCCTAGGAGTAATCAGTGCACTGATTCTGCCGGTGAATGTAATTGTGCCGATTGTAATCATTTTGCTCCAGCTCTCTGCCCCTATGGCATTTATTTCTTAGCCCAGATATTGATCTAACAGTGGGAAATTTTCCATCTGAATTTGTGATGCTGGACCCTCCCCTAGTCCGAAGATGTGTTTGGGAAATTCTCATTTTCTGTGGATCACAGCTGAGCTATTTGGCCTGAGGGAAGCCGTGCACTGCTGGAGAAATGCCTTGGATTGGAGAGAGATTTTTGACCATTATGAGCAAATCGGAAATAAATGTAAAACACTGCCTGGAAATGCAAAGGCCTGTCATTATGGGAGATAGGTGAGAGGCTCCTATGGGAAATGCTCAGAGAATTGGAAATCAGTCAATCAAAACCAGGATCGGAGAACGAGCCTTTTCCCCCCAGTATGAAGACAGATGACTTCCATGGGCAGATTGAAAATCATTTAAGTGCTTATTTTCTTAATGGCTTTTCCTAGATCCCAATAAATAGACTACTCATTCTGCATCAATTTCTCACCCCTGTGCTCCGGGCCTCCCCAAACCCTCCTCTTTTTTCTTCTCGGACACATGCTACAAAGTTTGGGAAGGAGAAGGGTGAGAAGGGACAAATGCATCTGTAGGGGGGAAAAATGGCCCAGGGCTGGTCTAGAAATGGAGCTTGAAGCCAGTGCTGGGTTGCCAAAGAACCCTAAAAATTTGCAGCTAGCACTTCCCAGAATGCCCATCAGCATTTGGTATGAACTATGCCTTCCTCCCAACCTGATTTTGATCCAGTGCTGGAAGAAGTCATTGGCGATTCCTCCCCAGGGTCTTGTTGACTCCTCTTGTAGCCCATGTGATGGAAGGAGCTGAGAACTGATCAGAGATTTCCACCAGTTACTAGAATGGGGCAGGGTGCAGGAGGGGTCCTTGGAGGACTTGGCTGGGAAGGGCAGACAGCTCACCCTGCATTTGCCATCTCACATCCCAGGCTCCCCGCTTCCCCTAGCTTTGTTCAAAGTGCCAGGCAAGCCAGCTCTGAGAGTCACCTTGGGGAAGGGACTTGGTAATGGCTGCTGTCTTTGTTGGTTTTGGAGGAGCTCTCTGTGTTTTATCTTCTGCTCAGTGGGCCGAGGTGGAATTGGTTAACAAAGACTGCTCCAGGGAGGGGATGTGGCTGACAAGCCAGACACTTCTCAGACACAGGAAGCAGCAGCTGTGGAGGGGGCCACCAGGTTCTGCCAGCAGCTGTACTGCCTACGGCTGTGATCTTGTCTGATATTGTCAGCGAAGCAGGGGCAGCCTGGGTCAGGAGCTGGGTAGTAAGACTCAAAGGGAGAAGGCGGGGCAGGAAAGAGATGAGCCACAGAGCTGGGTTTTGCTGTTGGTATCAGCATCCTGGCTGTACACATCACAAAAGATTCAGACCTTGTGATCTGACACATGTGTCATTGTCTGTTCCCAGAATATATGCAAATATTCTGAGCCCACCCATGCTTAGTATTCGCTGTCACAGGAAGCAGCAGAACAGAATAACAAGAATTGGACAACCACCTTCACTACCAACTCTTAAAGCTTTTGTTTTTCTTGTTTCTTTTTTTTTTAAATCATCGAATGGCATTAAGTATACTCATTTCTATCACAAATGGTATTGTGCTGGTACTTCTAGAAGAATCTAGAGAAAAGTTAGAACCACAAAGATGATGAATCATTTAGAGAAGCAAAATTAACAGCAAAAGCTAATGCAATTTGAATGGCATTTTGCCCAAAGGTAGAGAGCTAATTCAGATACCATTCTGAGAATGGGAAGTATCAGTAATGTGTTCCTACTCAGTAAAAGAACCAAGAAATTTAGGTGCCTAAATAAATTAAGGTAGCCATAAGAAAGGACTTGTTAATGAAAGAATAACAACTGTAATAATACTTAGCACTCTATAGCACTTTAAAGGTCTTTAAAGCACGTTCACATCACTCTTCATTTATCATAATTGGGGCTGTGAGATAGCCGAACAGTCTTTTATATGGGTTGTGATATTTCCCTGTCCTTAAATGTACAGTACAGTAGTAGTCTTTTGACCTGGGATGATTTAGGCATGAGCTTATTTGGAGACAAGCCATGTAACCAGTTTTGTGGTGTTTTGTAGAGCAGGAGCCACCAAACTGTGACCCAGGGACCAAATCCGACTTTCTGTCTATTTTTATCTGACCCACAGGCCAAGATATTTCTTATATTTTTAAATGATTGATTACAAAACTCAAAAGAAGAATAACATTTTAAGAGAGATAAAGATTATATGAAATTCAAATTGCAGTGTCCAGAAATATGGTTTTATTGGAACATATCCAGGTTCATTTATTTACATCTTGTCTGTGGCTGCTTTCACACTACAATGGCAGAATTGAATAGTTGCAACAGAGACCATTTGGCCCGATAAAGCCTAAAATACTTACTAAGTTGCAAACTTACAGAAAAAGTTTGCTGACCTCTGTTCTAGACTAAGAGTACAGTAATTTTGCAACTTACATTAAAGCATTAAGGCCCTGACTATTCCACTGGGGAAGGGGGCAGGGTACCTGTAGTCACAAGAGCCCAGGAGTTTGAGGCCAGCCTAGGCAATGCAATAAGACCTTGTCTCTAAAAGAAAAATCTCTGACCACTCAGTAGTACCCTCTCATAAGATTGTGGGAAAAATTAAATGAGTGTATTCAGATACAGAGTAAGTTTGCCTTGTCTGAAATGTTTGGACTAGAAGTGTTTCTGATTTCTTTGGATTTGAGAATATTTGAATATACGTAATGAGATATTTTAGGGATAGGACCCAACTCTAAACCTCAAATTCATTTGTTTCCTATATTTTATACAATGTTTTTAGCATGCCTCCCTTTTGACTGTGACCTGTCACATGAGGTTAGGTGTGAAATTTTTCACTTGTGGTGTCATACCAGTGCTCAAAAAGTTTCAGATTTTGGAGGTCATTGGCTTTAATCTTTACCAGAGAAGAGACAAAGACAAAGGGAATGTCATGTAATGATGGAAGCAGAGAATGGAATTAAGCTGCCACAAGCCAAGGAAGCAATGCTAAGGATTGCTGGCAGCAGCCAGAAGCTAGAAGAATGTCATGAAACAGATTCTCCCTCAAGGCCCCAAGAAGCAACCAACCCATCTGACATCTCTGGACTTCAGACTTCTACACTGAAAGAAAAGAAATTTCTGTTGTTTTAAACTGCAAAAAGTTTCAAATTTTGGAGTATTTTGCCTTTCTTCCCCCCACCAGTCACTGGGGATTGAATTTAGGATGTCCTGCTTGTTAGGCAAGCGCTCTATCACTTGAGCCACACCTCCAGTCTTGGAGCATTTGGACTTCAGATTTTCAGATTAGGGATGCTCAATCTGTGTCAAGTCCTTAGAATTGCTCTTAGGTCCTTATTATGAGTGCTAACTAGATGGAGGTGGTGATCATTTTCCAGGGACTATTCTAAACCCATTACACACTTATCCTCACAATGGCCCCATGAAATAGATGTTATTACCCCTACTTTTTAGGTTAGAAAACTCTCACAAGAGGTTAAACATCTTCCTCCAAACTACCCAGATAAGTGTGTAAGAGCTGATTTTTAGAACCAGGCCCAACTGGTTCCAAAGTCCTTCCAAATTCCTGACCTCTGGCCAAAGAGAAGGATTTTTTTGGTTAGTTTGTTTTTTTAGTGGAACTAGGGTTTGAACTCAGGACTTGGTGCTTGCAAAGCAGGAGCTCTGCCATTTGAGCCATACCCCGAGTCCATTTTTTGCTCTGCTTATTTTGGAGATGAGATCTCACAAACTATTTGCCTTTGCTGGCCTCTCAAACCATGATCCTCCCAATCTCAGCCTCCCAAGTAGTAGCTAGGATTGCAGGCATGAGCCACCAGTGCCCAACCAAAGAGGAAGTTTGTGAAATTATGAGAATCTTTGCCCAAGTATCCCTTTTCCTCTCTTCTGCAGACATTCTTGTCACATCTGTAGTTGCCACATCCCTTTTGTTTCCTCCAGCTCTTCCTCCTTCATCCGTGGACCCAGGATATGACTGACCCAGAATAGATGGAAGGAACTACCAGTTATTGAAAAGTGCTAAGCACTACATCAAATATTTTAAAAGACTATAATTTAATCTTTACAGAGCCCTATGGGGGGAAAAAAAAGTGTCACAGAGATGCCAAGATCACACAGCTGGTAAGAGATAGGGCACAAAGTCGAACCCAAGCTGTCCATTTCTTGGAATTTTCTCCTCTCTGAAAGACTCCATAAAATCTTCAGTCATCTGCTGGAAAGAAGTGTGGCCCTGAAGGCCTCAGGCACTTCTACCACAAGGCACTCAGCAGTATTCACAGCTGACTGCCAGAGAAGGGTCCCTTTGCCAGGCCACCCCTCAGCGAGACATGCTCCTTTATTTGGGTGCTGGGTGCATTAGCTGCCTCTGAATAAATCCTTAATTAGCTGCCCTGGCTATATTTGCATAATGGATTTCACTTTGTTCTTAAGTTAATGGTGTTTTCGCAACAGAACAGTAACCTCTTGGTTCCTGGCCATTAAAATAACAGCTACCCTGTAGGGTAGAGCCAGGGTTATGTAAAGGAAGTTCAGTTAAGAGTAGCAAGGAGGTGAGAGGGGAGGCAGGGGGTGGTTAAAGCTGCCATTGCATCACAGGTTTTCTCCCTCCTTCCCCAAGAGTGCTTGAAAGGTTAGTGATCCTGGAGTCCAAGGAGTCCAAAGTGCTGGAGAGATAACCAGGGCCAACAGAGAGATAGCTTCAGGCGCACTCCCTGGCAGGCAGTCTGGCCTGAGGAGCACCCCCACTTTATTCCAACAGGAGGTTGTATTAAAACAGGGTGAAATGGATTTATAGGTTCTCTAAGGAGGGTGAGGCCCCAGCGTGAAAACTTGGGATACTAGTAGGAATACAAAGGATCAAGAATGCAAGCAAGCTGGGCATGGTGGTGCAAACTCATAATCCAGCTACTGAGAGGTAGAGGTAGGAGGACTGAGATCTGAGGTTGGCCCAGGCAAAAGCATGAGACCCTATCTGAAAAATAACTAAAACAAAAGGACTGAGGGCATGGCTCAAATGTAGAGTGCTTGCTTAGCAAGTGGTAGCCCTGAGTACAGTTCCCAGTATTGCAACAACAACAACAACAACAAAAAAAAAGGCAAAACAAATACCATGACCACCTGTAAGACAAGGTGAGCTCATCACCTGTAAGCAGGCACACTCTAGAACTACGTACACTTACTAAGTAACCACTCAAGGACAACTAGTTGTGAAACTAATGGCTGGATTCACATGCACAGTAGCTGTAATAACTTGGCTGGACATCACTTCTGTCTATAGTGGTATAAAATTCACTGTCCTGAGCTGCTGCTGCTGCTGGGGCCTGACTGAATGGCTGACTGATGGCTGCAATGGATAATAAAGCAAAGGAAAATAAAACTCCTTCCAGGCTACTGTTTGAATCCAGGTCTACATAAATGAAAGGACCTATCTACTTGAAGCAGATTATTTGATTCAAGCCACCTCCTCCATTTCAACCCCAGCCCTAAAAGAGGGCCCCACAGAGATGCAGATTCAAACTCAGAAGGCTCCATGCAGGCCTGACCAGCCCTGAGTATCTGCCCACGGGGTCTCTCCAACTCCTCTGATAGCCTTGGACACAGGGTCTAACCTAGTCCTGGAACCCAAGCTGGCAGGAGCCAGCTGCACCTGTGGGGTGATAATGACAGTGAGCAGAGTATCTCCATCTTCCTTGGTCTTAGGTCCCTCCCATTGCATTTCAAGTGTTCACACTGTGCCTCTTCACACATTAACAGCACCTCCAGGTATGGAGCTCGATTCAAGGAATTTCTCTCCTGCCCACCTGTGCAGTTGGGTTCCAGTCTCGTGCTCCACCTGGGCCCATATCCGATAGCACTCATCCATCATCTTCGTGTAGAAGTCTTCAGGGTATGCCTTTCTGATAATGCGGCTCTGTCCATGGGAGCTTCCTCGGGAGTGTGGTAGAAAGAACTAGAAGTCGGGAACAAGAAAGACAATGGAAATCATTGCCCCTTTTGCTGCAACCCAGTTTAGAAGTTATCTCATGTGGGCTATCAACCAGAAGCCATTTGTTCTTCAAATATTCCAACAAACTCTCTCTGTATTCTCTCCAGTTATTAACTTGGTGATCAAGCTAGAAGTTTCTCAGTAGCACTAACCTAGGCCTCCTTTTGGCAAACATCACTTGCATTCACAAGTCCCTTTGCTAGCTAATCTTTAATCATCTCTCTGCAATCTCACCCCACTTAGACTCATAGAGAAGCAGAAGAAATTTCTGGATTATTCTAATCTAGCTCCCTCATTTTATGGACAAGGAAAACAATGCTAACTATTTATTTCTCTGTGGTTTAAGATTACTTCGGATAAGGGAACTACTTTGGGATTTAGCAAAAGATGGAGACTTTCCTGAGAGGATGAACCAGGAATCCCTTGGGCTTTGAGCAACCTGATAGAGAAATTAAGAAGATTTCTAACTATTCCAGCTCATTACCAAGAAGAGCAAACCATAACCAGCCTGCAGAGTTACAAGCAAAATAGAAAGGGGGAACCCTCTCAAGTAGAAATCTTTGCATGGTAGGCTGCGTGGGCCTCTGAAGGACCCTGCAAATATGAAGTGGGCCACCTGCATATGAAGTGGTCACTGTAGATGAGTACCATGGGGTCACTTTTCCTTCAAAGAAAAGCAGGACCTGAGTCATATCTCTTATGTATCAAGTAAGGAGGCTGCTATTACTGGGAGGTGGCAGAAAAAAAAAAACCAGAAGCTTCTGCTGGGTTCTGAGAGGAAAGGCTGGGAAAATGCAGGGAAGAATTTCACCTCTTAGGCTTATTAATACATCTAGGCAAAATTATTTTTACTTGCAGTTTCCCAGAGCAGAACTGATTATTTTTCTGGACTGGATCAACCAGTTAGGCACAGAAAAGACAGGGTAACAAAAATGAAAAGAATAGGGCCTGAGATACTTCTTGGTGAAAGGCAGGAACTGAGAGGCAGTAAAAGAAATACACCTAGAAACCCTACATGAGTTTGAGGGAGAGTGGAACTTACTTGAATTGTCATGAAACACATCAAGCAGCAAAGCTACAAATTGTAGGATTTGTGACAATTCAGAACATTTGACTTCTGCCCCATAGCCTGCTAATTCTGGAAAGGCCTCCCTAGGGGAAGAGAGAAGGACAGTCCTTAAGGGGGGGTCAGGCAGAAGGGACACAGTACCTGCTCCAGCAGGAGGACCCTCTTCCTGTGTTTGGCCAGGTGGTATGCAGTGAAGCAGCCCTGGATGCCTGCCCCAATCACAATGGCATCCCAGAGATCTTTCTGAGCAGCCATGATGCCCACTTAGCCCTGCAGCCACAGAGCCCACAAAGGAGAAAACAGGCAGTTCCAGGATGCAGAAGGATAAAGAAGGCAAAGTCCAGCTTGGCTAGTGTTCCCACAATCCCCTGGGGCTGTGTCCTTCTCCCTCCCTCCCTCCCCCAAATTCTGGCACAGGGCTCAGCCTCCGCCTCCCCTGCACAGCAGAGCTGGGTAGACTGATTTGTGAGGTTTAGCCCAGCTCAGCTGCCAGCCTCACCCTTGCATCCCTCTAGATTTCTATTCTTGGCTCAATTATTGTCATGCAAATGGGCTCCTTCCTATGCCACCTTCCTGTCTCATTATGATCTTTGTCTCAGGACTTCGGCCCTGGAATTTCAATGCCGCCTAGACCAAGCTGGGCACTGGGAATGCTGCTTCCCCTGCTGGTTTTCCTCTCTTCAGCCTGATTTCCTTTAGCGAGTCTACAGGGCCAGCTAAGAACTTGGCAGGATGCCCAGGGTAAAGCCCACTCCCTAGTGTGTGCGAGGTCAGGGGGTAGATGCCAGGGCCAATTGGGAGGGCAGTTTTGTGATTATGAAATTATTCTCAGCATAACTTTAACTTTCATGTTGGAAAAAAACAAGAATAAATGATCCTGAAAAGAAGGAAAGGGTAGAATGAAAGGAGGAGCCCTCTTCTCAGGCACAGAGGGAACCAGGTACCAGCCTAGCACAGGGAGGGGCCCTGAGTGGAATCCCTCTGTCCCAGGAGGTATGCTACATACATACTGTTATACAGGCACTGGGAACACAGTCAGTGTTTGTAGGTCCTAATTCATCTACAGTTTGAGGGTCCTCTTTAAGAAAAAGGAAAAGAAGGCCTGGGATGTAACTTGGTGGTAGAGTACATGCTTAGCATGCTTCAGGTCCTGGGTTCAATCCACAGCACCAAAAAAAAAAAAAAAGAGAAGCAAAGGAAGAATTACACATACAAAATTTTGGTGCCTGGACTTAGAAGAGACCATTCAGTTAGGGAGCCCCACAGTTGAAGTTTCATTGGCTTCATGGCAAATCTGCCTCTGAGTACATTATCTCACTGAATCCTCACAGCCCTAGGAGTATTTTTATCCCCACTTTTGACAGATTAAAGAGGGTTCCAAGTTCTTTGTCTCTCCTCCCATCACATGCTCTGTGACTGCTTAACCAATAGAACATGATGGGAACTCCACTGTAGCTCTTTTTGGGCTAGGTCGTCAGACACTGGCAGCTTCCACTTTCTGTCTTGAAACACTTGCTCTTGGAACCTTGACCCACCATGTTGGAAGTCCAACCACACTAAGAGAGAGACAAGGTGAAGAGGCCCTCCCACACTATACAGAGTCAAACGTCAGAGGGAAGCCAGTCCAGCCTAGTCACCTACTAAATATCACTGAGTGACCCAGGCAGTGTCACATATTACAGAAGAATAACTCAACAAGCCCCATCTGAATTTCTGACCCACAAAATCGTAAGTTAAAGAACAAAATAAACCAGAGATGTGGCTCAAGCAGTAGAGTGCCTTCTTTGCAAGCTTGAAGCCCTGAGTTCAAACCCCAGTCACACACACACACACACACAATCTTAAGGTAGAATAAAATGGTAGTTTTCAGCTACTAAGTGTTGAGGGTAGTTTTCTACATAGCCATCACTGAAACACCACTTAACAGTGAAAGACAGAAGCCCTATAGAGGTCATAACGTGCCCATCATCATATACCTGATTTAGCTAGATGCTGCGATAGCACCCAAATCTGTCTCCTCCAGAAATCATTCCTTTAACCACTCTGCTATACTGAGACTAGTCGGAGCTTGCAATGATGATTTTGATTTCAATATTTTGCTATCTTTTTCATGGCCATACAGTGAGTGGGAGTAAATAGTGTCCAGGAAGCCCATCTGACTACAGGAGCTACCCAGCCTCAGCAAAGTGACCCCCTGAAGCCCCCACCAAAGCTTCTCATTCCACAGTGAATCCCCCAGGGTAGCCTTAGCAACTAGCTTCCCTCTCAGGCTAGCCCTTCCTTTCCTCTGAAAATAGAAGCCCAGAGAGGGGTGACATCTGACAGGTTTTTTTCCCCCTTAAAAAAAAAAAAATCATCCTAGAGCCTAAAGATCCTCTAAACTCTATGTCACCCCCATTCCACATGAGACAGGATAGTGTCTGCCTCACAACTGGGCAGCTCCCTTAAAGGAAAAAATAGCAGATTTAACCAAGAAAAATATACTACACTTGTATGTAAAGGCTTGATAGAAATATATAAGATCAGCCCCCACGTTTCTCTTGATAAGATGTCAGAAGAGATGAACAATTTACACACAAGGAAAAGCAGACTATAAATCCTTACATGGAACTATGCTCAGTCTCACTAGCAATGAAAGAGTGGGAATTAAATAACTTGAAGGTACTATTAACATGTCTATTAAATAAACAAAAATAAATTAAAATGACAAAATCTTCTGTTGTCTGGGCTATAGGGTTGGAGAGAAAGCAGATCAAGTCTCGTGGAAGGTACTGGAGCCGCATGCAACAATCAGGGTAAAATGATTCAAACGTTGTGACCTAGAAATTCTACTTGAGGAACTATCCCCCAAGGGGAGAAAAAAAAGCAGTTGTATGAAGACATGCATAACAGTGCTTTTATAATATAAAAAAAAATGGATTCAACCCAACAATAGGGAAGAGCTGAACAAACTCTGGGATACTGACACAATGAAATACTATGTGGCTATTCCAAATGACAGGCGTGAGGATTCTGCTTTGTAGAAATGCATATATGAAACGATACTGAGAAAGACACACAGCGATCACAGCCATGTGTGCTGTGTGTGTGTGATCAAAGATCTAAAGAGGATTTGGTGAGGTAATTGAGCTTAATACTCATTAGTTCCTGTATTCTATAAAAAATGGTGCTTCCATTCACAATTCATAAAAGAAGGAGAAATCCTCTGAGGAAGCAGATGCTTCAGATCTCCCTGGTCACTGGATCCAGAGCCTGGGGAAGTTCTTTCTTTGTTCTAATCTCAGTTCCTCCTGCTGCTCCCCGACACTTGTTCGGTTCTCCAGGGAAGCTGCAGAACAGCTCTGTATTCCCCCCCACAACTCCCATTTAATATAATATCCCTTCAGAGATAAAATGACAATTCCATTTCCCTGTCCCTACTTCACAAGCATGCCCTGGATTCCTAGACTCAAGCATTCTGTTTCTTGTTAAGAATTTCAAACAGCTCCTCCGAAAGCAGACACTGGCCATGGCCCAACCTTGAAATGAAAAGCAAATCAAGTTCTAAAGGCTTCCCCTTCTCTCAGGCTTGCCTGTCCTTGTGGATGTCCTGACAGGAGCAGGCAGAGAGAAGTGATCCCCTAAAATTCCATCTTAACACCCATTCTGGATCGGAAGACTATTAAAAGGACAGCCAGCAGCCCTATACCTTGCTGCATGTGTGTGTGTCAGCAGTCGGCTCTCGTGTCCTGGGGCAGAGATGCTGAGGATGTGAGCTGCTCCTCCGATGGCTTGATTGACACTCTGCAGACAGGGGTGGGAGAACCAAGCCAGGGAAGCAGCAAGCTGTACAGCTCAGAAATAATGAGAGGACTCAAATGGAGAGAGAGCCTGGAATAAATAAGAGAGACCTAGGAGTTGAATGGCGAGGGAGACGCTTCTGTTCTGTTTCCCTGCCCCACTTTGCCAAGGAGCTGGAGCCTGGGGCAAGGAGGCAGGCAGGCAGACGGGGAAGAGCCCCTCTGGACCCATCCTGCCAGCTGCTGGGGGTGTCTGGGGCCATGAATGTGCAGACGATGCCAGAGTGAGAAAACGAAGAACGGGGCTTTGTGCATGGTCTCCATACACATCGCTGACCCATTTTCTGTCTCAGGTTGAATCCCTCTCCTCCATCCCTACTCCCCTTGCCCAAGGTGGGTCATTCACCCACCTTGGCTCACCTGGAGGATTGCATTAATCTCCTAATGATTCTCCCCCACTCCGTCCTTACCCTCTTAACCTATCCTCCACATTCCTACAGAGACATCTCTCTAAATGGTAACTCAGAGCAGGTCTCTCCCTGCTGGGAAATTTTTCACAGCAGCCCATTTCCTATTAGGATAAAAATCTAAATTCCTTAGCTTGGTACACATATGGTGGTTCTCGTTCTGGCCTCTGCCTGCTCCCACAGCTCCATTACAGGCCCCTTCTCACTGTACTCTTTTGTGCCCTGCAACACTGAGCTCAAAGAGGTTCCAGTGCTCACCATGAATATTCCAAATTCCCCGGCACCCCAGGCACCCCCAAGCTGACTTAGCCAGCCTTGTCTCCTATACTCCCTTCCTACCCTGCATGATAACAATGTGCAGATTGTGTTGTAATTGTTTGCATGTCTGTCTTCCCACCAAGCCTCTTAAAAGGAGACTTCTTTTTATTGTCATTTTTTCATAGGTAATACATACACTTGGAACAACAACAAATTGTACAAAAGAGAACACTGTTGGAAAGGAGTTCTCCTTTCCACCCTATCCTCAGTGCTTAGTTCCCCCATCAGATGCAACACTGTTGCTATTTCCTTTTGTGTCTTTTCAGAGATGTTCTGTGGGTATACAAATATGTTTATACATATATATTTTTTTAATCCCAAAAGTAGCATCCTATATAACACCTGGATATTCTCATTTCCTTTATTTTGGCAATCCACATCAGTCATATGGAGCCAGTACATTCTTCTGATGTCTGCGTAGTATTCCATGGTATGGAGGAGGCCTTCGGCACAAAGGAGGCACCCATACATGTTTGTGATGGGTGACAGGGCACTCAGGTGCTCCAATTCACATGACTCTCTGGCCATCTGGTACAGGGTGTTCAGGGAGAGATAAATGCCTGTTCTGGACTAACCCAGCAAGGTTTATCAAAGGCTGGCAGTGCCTTCTGTAAGCTGCCTAGAACAGACGCCACCTTCAGATGATGGGGAGTGAAACACTCAGAAACCCTGGCTTTGGTTTTTATCCTGC